TGTATGTGGCCGGCTCACGCGTCGGAAAACCTTCCGATTTATTCGTGTACGCACCAGACGGAAAAACAAAAAATATCGTGTATCCACAAAGCACTCCAATAAATAAATAGAATTGAAACGACACTTTGAAATGTTTTCCTGATGAAAATGAATAATAATAATAAGTTTCAATAAAAATGATGAAATGTAAATTTAATTTTATCATAACGAGTTTGCTTGAATTTCGTTTCTTCTGAGATCGCAGCAATGCGCGACGGAAAAGCTAGTATTTAAATAAATAGATGTTATATGTTTTTATCAAAGCAAGAATTGGCATTTAGAGGGCATATGGAATATATTGGATCTAATAACAGATGTAATTATAATGAACTTGTTTATTAAGTACGTCAGATAAATAATATATTAAAGAAAGAATTAACTGATTGCCCCTGGATGTCGGCTTCTTATAGAAACACAGCTTCCCTATCATTAAATGTCACGGCACGCCCCTGATTATTCCTCGTCATTGTATGTGACAGAGATCAATGCAGTAGACAAAACAGTCACAATAGTGATTAATACGAAAACCTCTGTTTTTTTACCTTACAGAAGTACATATGAAATTCAATAATCCGACACCCTTTAATCCAATATATGTGGGATAACAAAGACTCTACACCAGCGTTTCTCATTTATGCTTGAGCAACCCAATATATTTGTTTGTAATGGTTCCGCGACCCAAATGTTCATAATAAAAAAAAATTTTAAAAACCTTGTAAACTGGAGTCACTGTTTATTATATAAGGAAATAAAATTATAGATTATTGATAATAACTTCCACGTGAAAAATGTAACATTGAATATCTTACTATTAATTAAGAACGGTTCAGGCCAATTTCAATTTATAACAAATAACTTACTTTAATGTCAGTTTTTTAAAATTGAAATTTAATTATTAAAAAAATGCAATACTGGCGATTGTAAATAAAACAAACTGTTTCCAAATTATTTGGGAGTCTCTTTTACTTTGAAAAATATTACAAGCTCTTTTTATAAACTTAATGAACCCTTTTTTGCAATGCACTTTTCAGATTGTAAGAATATTTTGTTAATTTAATTTTGTATATATGTTACCGCTAAAGCTCGAAATCCGTTAATGTGTACATTACCTAGCTAATCTGCAGATTAACTAGGGTGATCCGTTAAAGCTGCGAAAATTGTTCAATTTCTCAAATTACCTAGGTAATTTGCAGAGTATCTAGGTAATCTGCACATTAACGGCTTCCGTATCGTTAAAGTTCAAAAGTTTGTTTCTTTCACTTCCTTTCCCCACTCCTTCTTTTTACGTAGATAAATTTAAATCCTAGAATGCAAGCAAGCACCGAATTGGTGAGTAAAATCAAGAAAAGATTCTTCGCAAACCTCTTTAGCGAAGATTTAAAATATAATACGTAGTGTTTTAATAACAAACCAAAGTATGATTCCATAATTGAAGATGTAAAGCAAATAAAAGTTTCCAAGAAGAAAGAATCATCTCGAGATTATCAAATAATTCAAAGGTGTGATGTGTTGACTGTACGAGGCTGTGAAAAACTCATTGAGCCGTTGTCAGATGCGCGAGAAAGGTTTGAAAAAGTTTGTCCATGCCGGAGAATTGTTTGACATTCGATAAAAACTGAAGAAGACCTTGAAAAATTAGAAGATTCACAAGAGACTGTGATTATGAGATCACAGTCAAATCTTACTCAAGAGGACATTCCGTTATCCCCCGCTTCTACAGAATCACCTATAGAAATACAAGAATTTACCGATAGTAATCTTAAACTGCCTTCTATACCGTTGATTGATGATGCAGTCACGAAGAATATTCAGTTACCCTGCACCTCCAAGGAATCGCCTCTGCAAGTTGAAGAAGTCATCACTGAGTTACTCTCAACTTCAGCAGAATCGCCATCACAGTTTCGTACGGAGCCTGTAAAGAGCACTATACAAGACATAGTCTGTATTGTTTGCTCAAAAGCAGCATCAAGTGCTCACAAGTGTAAATCGTGTAATATGTTTGTTCACGCAGTTTGTGGTGAAGTAGATCCTAAAGAGGAAGGGTATGGTAAGAATGTATTGTGCATCATCTGTAAAAAGAATATGGATCAGAAAATACAGCGTGATGAAGCCAAGAAATGTTTAGAAAAGCAAGCAAAGAAAATGTTAGCAGTTTCTAATGCAAAGCACCCAAACGTCGATGAAGGTTTCGCTGTGAGAATTAAAGTACCCGAAGAAGACAGAGCAAAAACTGATGCACGTTCAATTTTAGCTGTGGTTCTTAGTAAAACAGAGGATGGCTTTTATAAACTTGATACTAAAACAGGTATTTTAAAACAATTGTATGCAAAATCTGAATTCAGTGTTTGCAAAGAGAGATTTTTAACGAAAGAAGATGGATGTCCCTGCTGTAGAAATATCTTTACGTCAAACAGCAATAAAACAATCCCTTGGTACTGGGCAGGGTTTCAGAAAATGTGACTGCAAATCTAAATGTACCACAAATAGGCGTGCTTGTCGCAAAAACCAATTGCTACGTAATTCAAAGTGTCACCAATCTTTAGATTGCACTAATAAGTAAGTACAATTTTATCATATGTTTTGCAAATTCATTTCCCTAATTGTAGTAATATTTTAAACCGTTTGATTTTTGTATTAAAGTTTTTTTAATTGATTGATGATTGATTCAATCAACTAATTTGTTGATTGTATTAACTTGATTCTTTAGATATTGAAAATTAAATAAATAACATTATGTTAATTTAAGCGTACAGAAAGAAACGTTGCTGTTGTTCCAGCAAAGATCTTATTTTCACTTTACCGAGTGCCTAGTAGGTAATTCGCAGATTACCTAGATAATTTGAGAAATGGAATAATTTTCGCAGCTTTAACAGATCACCCTAGTTAATCTGCAGATTAGCTAGGTAATGTACACATTAACGGATTTCGAGCTTTAGCGGTAACATATACAGTATATGCAAAATTGTACACATTTTGTATATATAATAAATAATGCTTAAAGAAATTGTGTGTGTATACACACACACACACACACACAAAATTTCTTTAAGCATTATTTATTGATCCATTCGTATTAAAATTCATCCTTATTTTATTTTTAATAATTTATTGTTATGTATGAGAATAAACCTAAAAGTTTGAATGAACAAGGAAATATTTTCAAAACCATTGCAATTTAAATGGCTCTTTAAAACTATCTTACATAAAATATCTATTTTTATATTATTCAAAATAGAAAAGAGAAATCAATTCTATAATCTTAATTTTGTTACTAAATGGAAACAATAACTATAAGAAACAAATTTCTAAAAATTTTCAGTACTTAGCAGGCGCATCTATTGTTAAAGTTCTTAGAGACAATAGAAGATTGATCGCGTTCCACAATGCCGATTTGTATATTACCCATAGTTTCAGATGTAGAAAGTAGAATAAAAGTAACTGGCCCACGTGCTTCTATATATTCTGACTTTTACTTTCGATACGTAAGGTTTATCTATCGCAAATATGCTACCTAAAATTTCAGACTTTTGGGCAGGTTATGTAACTACTCTTTCCGAAGCAAAATATTTGCAAACTCAAATTATTAAAATGTGCAAAAATCTTGGTTTTAACGTTTCACGATATGGGATACAGTCATTTTTCAAAATAAATAATTCGCAAGATCCAGGACCGTCGTCAAGTGTTTCAATTCGGCCTAGAAAAAAGGAATGCCCCAAGCCGCACACCTCAAGTGATAGGAAAAGTGCGACGACTGATCCAGTGGTTCAAATCCAAAAACCTAACGAAGTATTGCCCAGAGTGTTGGAATAGCCCAGTCCACGGATCATGCCATCATTCACAACAATTTGAAACTGCAGAAATGCTATAAAGGTCGAGTTCACAAGCTGCTGTCTCGTCACATCCAAGAACGAAAGACCGATTGCCGAAAACTATACGAAAAGTATCTTTCGGTAAACAAGTGGCAGTTTGTAGTCACGTTAGATGAAGCATGGATGTACATGAACAATTGTAACAAATCGCGGGCAATTTACTACAGACCATACCAAAAATGGTTCAAGGAATGTCGCGAAAGTTTTCTGTCAGGTTTTATGGTCATTGCGGATTATTGTTATCGTGGTAAACTAAACATCAGAAAAGTTGAAAAAAACGTTAAAATTAAATATATATATACAGTAAAATATCTGGTTTTTTTTTTAACTCTTTCCACCCTGTGGGCACTAAGAGGGCTTCTTACATCAAGCCCATTATGAGTTCAGCCAGGCCCACAATGGGGTGGCCGGGTGGTAAGGGACGGGGTCTCGACATATCCGGACAGACCACCCTCCGAAAAATTGGTGGGCATTTTTGACACGTCCGGATTTGATCCCGGGTCCCCCTGGAGTGGTAGGCTGCCACCTTAATCCCTCCACCATCCGGCTGTCAAAAAAAAATCTGTTAATATTCAAAAGAACATATATTCTATAATTTCCCAACTAATTTTTTAAATTTATAATGTATACACGTATCGACACAACGTAAATTTACAATTTTATGGTTTATTTTAAGATAAATTACTATATTTTGATGAAATTATTTATACAATAGTACTATCATCTATTTAATGAAGTATTTCATTTATATAACAGAGCTCAATCAATAGCATTTCACGGTGATAACTGAAAGACGCGAATGTTACGATGTCAGTAAATTCAACATAATTATCTGAAAGTAAAGGAAAATATATTACGTTTTATTTTGTGGTTATACTAAGATACATTTATGTAGTAATTCAAAATAAATATCATTTAAATAAGAGATAGTTATGAATAAATAATATTAGTAGACAATCTGATTGATTATTTTTTTATCTTATCAAATTAAAATCTTAATTCAAACTTTATTCGTCAGATGTCTCTGAAGGAAGACATCCGGGTGCCATTGAAGATGGCTCCGTGAGGATTAGTTTTTGTTGAAAAATGCGTCAACAAACCGTTCGATGTTTTTGGTAAGTTTATATGCTTATTCGAAAAGATGAAATACATAAGTTTCATCCCTTATCAACTCTCGATGATAGCGTGATGTTGATTATCGGAATAATTCTGTCAAAGGATGTAAAGTGAATATCCACGCCTATCTTGGAGTAGAAGGTCAGATGTGGATGGAGCTGTTCACTGATGATGAAGGAAAACGTATAATTTTGATTATGTGAAAACTTCCTCAAAATAGACATTTTGATTCAGTGATACATGGTGGAAGCAGTTGCTTGAGCCTTGGATAGAATCAAGGTTAGAGATGACATGATGGTGTTTCAGGGTCATTTCTTCCAAGTTACCGTTTTGATTATTAAAAATTCATTTAATTCCTTCACAAAATTCAACACGTTCTTCTCTTAAAGGTAGAGTTTAGGAATATATTCAATAGATTATAAAAAACAATCACTTCTGTAATATTTGCTGCTATATTGTTTACAAAAACATGGTACATGATATACTAGCATCAATTAATTCAAAAATGATTACTGTATTATAATTTTGTTTTGTTATTTAAACAGAACACATTAAGATATTTAAACTGTTTATAAAATTTTTAGTTTACTAACTTAAAGATCATTAACTTCATGTTTTTTAAAAATGTAGAAAGTGTCTTGTTTAGTGATTCAGCATGATATGCTACAGAGCAGATACTAACTAAATTCAATTTCTAATTAAATTGATTTTTATGTATTCATATTTTGTTTCATAAAAATAGATTTTGCAGGAAAAGTGATTTGAATTGATTTTTCTTTTTTTTTGGAAAGAAATATTTGTTGAAATTAAATGATTAAAGGAAGAAATATTTGCAAAAATATATAATTATTACTGACTTTTTTTTCAATAAAATTATTTTTTTTTTTAAATCTGTTCTGCAAAAATAAAAGAAATTCCAAAGTAGATAACCTTGAATGATATATTAATTTTTTTTAATTTAAACTTTGACTCTATTAAATTTTATTTAATTTAATCAGTTACAAAACTTATTAAAATGAAAGTGTAATGAATACTACAAATGACATACAAAAATTAGTTTAGTTTATTTACAATTTACAAAATTGTTTTATTTGAAAATATTTTATTGCAAAATGGTAAAAAAAATTATTAATTGTTAGGAGTGTTTTCTAAGATGTTTTGAAACCAAAAATATAGAAATTATAAATAAATAAGTATTTATTTCAGAGAATAATTTAAATTAATTTTAATAAATAATATACTTAATTGTTAAAATATTTTCATATACTGTAAAAAATTAAATCATTATAAAATTTACTTAATCAGCAGCAAATTACTATATATAGAAAATTCTTCTAATTTTACAATTATTTCTGGTATGAAGTTAATCATTTTCAAATAGTCTCAACATTCAGTTTGAATTTTGTAAAACTTATAATTATTAAAAACAGGTTTGATGTAATAAAAAAATACATTTTTGATATTAAAGTTCTGCTTTAAATGATAATTTATTTCTAATTTCTGAAATTCAATTTGTTTATCATTATTATGAAATTATATGGAATTAATCTCTTATGAAATTATTAGAAATATATGCTTAAATAGAATATGAATCATACATTAGTGTATTCAATTCAAATTAATAGTTTATTTTCTGATTTGAATAATATAGTTCAGTTTTATATTGTCTTTGATGAAATTGTATAACTTATAATTTTAACCACAGTTTCATATTATATTTTCAATATATAATAGTAAATTATATTTGATAATTAAAAATTTTTAAAAATTATAGAAACTTGTTGGGTTAAAAGTTATTTGAAATGTACATTTGAGTATTTTGTATAACCAGTTTTGCCTTTTTTTGTGTATAAATTTATCATAATTTGGGATTATATAAGTTAGTCTATTTAATATTAGTAACAATATAAATTATTTAAAGGGAAATGCAAGATAAAAATCTTCTGCACGATTTATATGTAAAGGAAAAAGTAGCCAATAAAATTTGCTTAACTATAACTTATTTTAAAAGTAGACTAAAGTTTACTTTTTATTTATCAGACATTTTCTGATTCATATTATTGTAATCAGTTCTTTCTATTATAGAGTAATATTTAAAGTAATTAATAAAACAGTATTCTTTAAATATAACATCTGTTTTTATATTTGAATAATGATGCATCTGTGTTCTGTTTTCATAGTTTTAAGCTTGCACATTTATTAAAATTATGAACAGATTTAACATTTATTATTCAGATTTCCATCTTCTGTTATCGTTTGCTGAAATCACGTTTGATTATTATAAACAAAATTTTTAATTTTGCATAAATGGTGATAAAGATATTACTTCTGTTTTAAAATAAGTTTGAATTTATTGTTTTTCTTTTATTTGTAAACGAAAACTAATCAAAAGATGTAATTCTTACAAACCAGTCAGAAAAAAAAAAAAACTTAAACATCCCTCTTTTTTACCAAGTCCTTTGGAAACTAATTAATAATCAATAAATGAATAACTATTACACTAATACATTTATAAATTTAAAATTAGTTATTTTTTTAAATTTAAAAATTTAAAATGGAAATTTAAGATTATTTCATTTTAATTTGCTTTTGGTTATCTAATTAAGTAAAATATTTAGTTAGGATTTTGAGATTCAGACTAAATGTAAATTGAATTTTTCCTTAACTCAATACTTAAATAATAATAATGGATAAGTTAGAAGGTGATATAAAAAAAGCAACAGCACTTTACATGAAAGAGGCTAGTTGAAAGAAAAACTCTGACTTCTGATGTTAAATTGATACATTTTGAATGTTAGAATGAAATTTGAAAGAGTTAAAGGAGTCAGGATATTTATTCAGATTAAGTGCTATTTGGCATTCAATCTCATCTGTAGATCAACAACATTCAATGTTCTGATAATTCAAATAGAACATTGAATATTGTTGATTTGAAGATGGGATTGAAAATCCAAATAAATATACTGACTCCTTTAACTTTGGAAAAAGCCATTCAATATTCAAATTACATATGCCTGAAGATAATGGAATTGATTCTTGTTGAAAGTTCTTTTAAGTTTTTTTTTAATTGTTATATCAAAATATATCAATTTAACATCAGAATTCAGAGTTTTTTTCAACTGAAGATGACATTTTGAAATTGTGAAAATGTTTGAGTTATTAAAGAATTTTGTTTATTTAACATCAAAGACTGAGTTTTCTTCTTTTTTGAGTTAAATAATAACATATAAGCTTTTTGCTTACCAAGGAGTACAATCAGTTTTACTACTGAGCACTTTCAGATGCATCGTCATCAGAGTACAAACCATACAAAATATGTTATGAATTTCTGTTGAATATTACATCATTGGAACTTTTGATAAGCAGAAAGCTAATTCTCTGATTCTTTTTTTTATTATTACAAATATATTTGACACTGCCATATGGCAATAATAGCCTCATCTCAAAACAACAATAATTAATAATCTGATATAGTAATTGTGATAAAATGGATTGTATTGATAGTTTAGATGGATAATAATAACAATAACTGTTCAAAAGTTAGCTTTTATAAATTAAAAGAAGCTAATTGTGTATTTTGTATGTCTGTTAGTGTAGTTATGCAGCCATGATTCAAGAAGATATTGAGGTCCAGGAAATGGGCCATCTTGTCATCCTGCTGGTCTAATGTAAGCTTAAGTCCAAAAGGGTTGTTGTTCACTATCTGCAGTACGGCGTTTAGATCTGGCTTGGATTTCCAAATGATAAGAATATCATCTACATAGCACGCGTAGAGAACGATGTCTGCGTTGAAGGACTGTAACACTTGGCTATCCAATTTTCTCACAATTAGTTCGCAGAGGTCTCCAGAGAGGGGGCTGCCCATAGGAACTCCCCTTTCTTGTAGATAGATTTGCTGGTTGAAGGTGAAGAATGAGGTGTAGCACATAAGATGGGCAAGCTCCAACACATGCTTGTGGTATTCAGGTTTGGGTGGAGAGGCTTGGAAGAGAAAATCTCAAGGGCACAGAAGCACAGTTCCAATTTAATGGAAGGATACATAGCTTCAAAGTCTAGAACTGTAATAAATTCCTGATCCGTCAGAGTGATATTCTGTAATTTAGTGATGAGTTCCCAAGTGTTCGAAACGGTGTAACTATAATCTTTTAAATGGCTTTTGAGGAGCTCATGTAGATCCTTCTCAATAGGTAGGGTTGGAGATCTTGATTTATGAACCCTACCTATTGAGAAAGGTCTACATCCTTCCATTAAATTGGAACCGTGCTTCTGTGCCCTTAGAGATTTTCTCTTCCAAGCCTCTCCACCCAAACCTGAATACCACAAGCATGTGTTGGAGCTTGCCCATCTTATGTGCTACACCTCATTCTTCACCTTCAACCAGCAAATCTATCTACAAGAAAGGGGAGTTCCTATGGGCAGCCCCCTCTCTGGAGACCTCTGCGAACTAATTGTGAGAAAATTGGATAGCCAAGTGTTACAGTCCTTCAACGCAGACATCGTTCTCTACGCGTGCTATGTAGATGATATTCTTATCATTTGGAAAGCCAAGCCAGATCTAAACGCCGTACTGCAGATAGTGAACAACAACCCTTTTGGACTTAAGCTTACATTAGACCAGCAGGATGACAAGATGGCCCATTTCCTGGACCTCAATATCTTCTTGAATCATGGCTGCATAACTATAAATGTGTTCAATAAGCCTAATCTTCAGTCTGTTAGTGTATTAATAAATTTTTGTTTAATAATTTATCTTTGAAGATCGTTAGCAAATGAAGATTCTGAAGGTTTGTTTTAATAATTTATTCTAAGAACTACTTTTGATCTGTTGCATTGATAACAAATAAGTAGGGATTGTATAAAAAAGTGTACTATTTTAAATTTTATTGTCATTACTATTATTTGACTAATATTAGCAAAATTATATTATCATGTAATGTCTGCTTCTTATGACACAATCTTTATCCAATTTCTTCCTTTTATCTGTCATGTTATGTAATTATGATTCTAAGATCATTTTTATTTTTAGTTTTTAATTTTAACTCTTAACTGGTTTTATGGGGGCCGCGCGGCCCCCACGCGTCATATTTTTACAATTTTCTAAAAATCTAAATATCGTGCGCAGCTGCCATTTTATGTAATCTCATTACGTCGCGACTCTTAGCAAGTGCCAAATGTTCGGCCCTGTAGCACTTACAAGGATGGAGCTACATACCAGTTATGATTGTAAAATTTACGAAACCAGTTAAGGGTTAAAAACTATAAATAATGTAGTTTTTGATAAATTCACATTCTTTACAATCTGATGAACTTTTTTTATATTATTTGTTATTTTGTTTAAAACAATTAAAATTCTTCAAACAAATATTTTATTGAAGTAACAAAAAGCACG